CTTGCCAACTATCCTACCCACAAATCCTGGGTTAGCTCTGCCTTTCATTGTCTTTCAACTACTTTATAGCTCTATAAATTGCACTATACTGGGAGTGAGGCCAATAATTCTTAGCCATAGAAATGCAAATTGTACCCAGTCAGATGAGCTGACTATTGCTCTGTGGATATTGCCAACTTGATATATATTTGTAAATTTACTTTAGCCTTCCTGATGGTCTGTAACTGTGCCTGTCCTTCTGAAATTTTCATAGAAAGGGCTGCAACATGTGACAATGAGTCATCAAATCATTGCATTATTTTATCAGAGCTGCCTGTAAAATACCATACAGGCATCTGAACCAAGAGGGGTTTCCATTGCGGAAACTGAAACACTGAGACCATGGTGTAGATGGTGAGGTTTCTTCTAAGCTCTCTTCGTTTAGCTTATAGATATACATTTTGTCATCTTTGTGTTCACATTGTATTCTCCCACCATCTAGAATTATTTGGAAAAATCACAGTCCCTTCCTGTTTTTTTAGTCTCATTGATAAAAGAATTTAAAGTGAGATTCAAAGGGAAACTGGAAGACTACTTTATTGGAGTTAAAAGAAAAACCCAATGGCTGAGAATCTGTAAATTTAGCCAGGTATCCAGAGAAGGAAGATGGAGAAGAGAAATTAAAACAAAACAAAACAAACAAACAAAAAAAACCATGCTTTGTGGTCAGACACATAGGGAAGGAAACCTGAGAGAAAAAAAAAAAGATGAAAAAAGACCCAATTACCAGAAGAAGCATACCTGGGCTCTGGCCAGCACCCCAAAGAAAAAGAGAAAAGAAGAGACGTTTAGAGAGAAAGAAGAAAAAGGAAAAAGTATAACTTTCTGACTCAGAAAGGCAGGCTGGCCCAAAAGATCACTATGACAGTGTTGGACTAACTGCACTGGGGTGAGACTGAGGAGGAAACTTATACTACCACATAGAAGGGATAATTATTTCTGGTATCTCTTTAGCATAGCATAGGTATACCCTCTGAGGGTATACCCTATGAGGGGTGGTTCTTTGGCCATTTGATTTACTTGCCTTCCTGGATTAACTTTTTTTATATATAAATTATTATTATAAACTTTATTATTTAAAAATTGGCAAATAAAATGAATATAGCACACTAAACTTAACCAGACCCACAGCCTCTACATCTCCACGAACTTCTATGCAGTTAGAATAGCCATTCTGCAAGGCTGCAGAAATGGTTCAGCAGTTAAGAGCACTTGGTGTCTTTGCAGAGGACCCAGGTTAGATACCCAGCACCCACATCATAGTTCAGAACATCTATAACTCCAATTCCAATGTATCTGATGCCCTCTCTGTCTGAATTAATTCTTCCTTTCTTCTTTCCTTCTTTTTGTTATTAATTACTCTTTATTCACTTTGTATCCCCCCATAAGCCCCTTCCTCCTCCCTTCCTGGCCCCCCCTCCCTGTTCTTCATGCATGCCCCTCCTCCACTGATAGGGGAGGTCCTCCTCTCCTTCCTTCTGATCTTACTCTATCAGATCTCATCAAGAGTGGCTGCATTGTCATCTTCTGTGGCCTGGTAAGGTTGCTCCCCCTCAGGGGGAGGTGATCAAAGAGCAGGCCCATCAGATTATGTCAGAAGCAGTCCCTCTTACCATTACTATGTAACCCACTTGGACACTGAACTTCCATGGGCTACATCTGTGCAGGGGTTCTAGGTTATCTCCATGCATGGTACTTGGTTGGAGTATGAGTCTGGGAAGTTCCCTGTGTTCAAATTTTCTGGTTCTGTTGCTCTCCTTGTGGAGTTCCTGTCCTCTCCAGCTCTTACTATTTCTCACTTCTTACACAAGATTCCATGCACTCTTCCCAACAGTTGGCCATAAATCTCAGCGTCTGCTTTGATAGTCTGCAGAGCAGAGCCTTTCAGAGGCCCTCTGTGGCAGGTTCCTAGCTTGTTTCCTGTTTTATTCTTCTTCCGATGTCCTTCCTTTTTGCCTTTTGGGATGGGGACTGAGCATTTTAGTCAGGATCCTCTCTCTTGATTAGTTTCTTTAGATGTACAGATTTTAGTAGGTTTATCCTATATTACATGTCTATATGAGTGAGTATATACCGTGTGTGTCTTTCTGCTTCTGGGACAGCTCACTCAGGATGATCCTTTCCAGTTTCCACCATTTACCTGCAAATTTCATGATTTCCTTATTTTTCATTGCTGAGTAATATTCCATTGTATAGATGTAACACAATTTCTGCATCCATTCTTCAGTTGAGGGGCATCTGCAACCCTGAGATTTCACCTTACACACATCAGAATGGCCAAGATGAAAAACTCAAGTGACAACACATGCTGGAGAGGTTGTGGAGAAAGGGGAACCCTCCTCCACTGCTAGTGGGAATGTAAACTTGTACAACCACTCTGGAAATCAATCTGGCGCTTTCTCAGACAACTATGAATAGAGCTTCCTCAAGATCCAGCCATACCACTCCTAGGCATATATCCAAAAGAGGCTCAAGTACACAATAAGGACATTTGCTCAACCATGTTTGTAGCAGCTTTATTTGTGATAGCCAGAAGCTGGAAACAGCCCGTCTTTCCTTCCTTTTTTCTTTTTCTTTCTTTTTTTCTTTTTCTTTTCTTTTCTTTTCTTTTTTTTTTTTTTTTTTTTTTTTTTTTTTTTTTTTTTTTTTTTTTTTGAGATAGGGTTTCTCCATGTAGCCTTGACTGTCTTGGATTCCCTTTGTAGACCAGGCTGGCCTCAAACTCACAGAGCTTCACCCGCCTCTGCCTCCCTGAGTGCTGGGATTACATATGTGTACCACCACATCCAACTGGGTTAACTCTTAAGGGAAGAGACAATGCCATGTCTCCTCCCAGAGTAAAGAACTTTGCTGCAACCTGTGGGTTTGGGCTTCCTCATTTCCTCTTCTTGTAAGCCTGCTAGTCATACTGATTGCACATTCATGCATATGAGGTCATTTTTGTACTATGTCTTCAAATGCCCTATCAAACAGTCACATTCCAGACAGTGGAGTTAGGGCTTTCAGCATATGAATTTGGGTTGACTATGTAGTGTATATTATAATACATTTTTATAAAGAATTCTTTAATACTTGGAAGTGCTAGCTTCCCAAAATAGACTTATAAAAAAATATATCCAAAATATCCTAAGACTGGATTAAGACAAAAGATGATAGACTCATCTATCACTTGGTAAATATATATATATATATATATATATATATATATATATATATATATATATATATATATAATGTGTGTGTATATATCTCACTTGGTATGTATATACTATCGCTGGTATATATATTTTGTATAATTTTCAACATCTTCAGGGTGACAGCCTTCTTTTTAACTAGAATTCTACTGCAGTTCCACTTTTACATTCAATCAGCTACCATGGAAAGAATGTGAAACTCACTTTGCAGCTTCTCATCTCTGAACAATGATATGTCCATGCCTTTTTTTAAGAGTATGCAGAATGGAGAAAACTGTGCTGGGTTAAATTAGAGATAAGGTAAGTTGGGGACTTCAAAGAGAATTATGAAAATAATGAAAGGTTAGAGTTCCAAAAATCCAATATTCAGCTTTTCCTGGGGCAAGCCCCACATGACATCCACTGTCTAGGATTGTCCCTGCTCCGGTGTGTGTGAAATGAAGTTGACAGCACAAGAACAGCGCCTTGAAATTATGAAATAAGCAAAAATTCAAGGCACCAACAATCTCTTCTAATGCCAACTGGTTCATTCTTTGTTATGATAAAGGAAGTCTGACGTTAGGAGTTCAGAAATTCCTAGTGATATGGCAAACAGATCTGGAAAACCAAGCATGGAATTATCACTTTTATCCATGTTTAAACACCGGTGGCTCTTGATTTTGCAATTGCCTGCTTTTCTTGTTGTCTGATTTCCCATCCATTCTTAGGATGTATGTTTTGGAACATATGGATCTGGCTCACATTCAGAGCTATCTCCCCAGAAGAAAGAAAATGGTTGGAGCATGGGGTGTGTAGAAAGTTTCCTGGAAAAGATTCCTGATTCACACTGAACTTTCTGCAAAGCTGACTGATTAGAATTGAAATGATTGGGTGAAATATTAGCTCTAGAGCTGGATTACAATTTTTCTAAGACTCTCTCTAGGCACCTCAAATAGCTATTTCTTCCCCATCTCTCTGTTTGAACTTTCTCTTAATCCTTGTGTCTACCAGGTGAAACCTTTTGGAATTCATTAACCTGACAGGTTACTAGCTTCCACAAAAATCCAAAGCCAAGAATATTATCAGATAGTGTCAGAGGTTTGCAGCAGAGATGCCTCTGCTTTGCTGTAACTCACCTATCTGATATTTCTACTGATGCATTTTAAGTGTCCTGATTCATGATTTTCCTTGTTTTATTACTATCAAACTTCATGAAATCATTACCAAATTCCATAAAAACATGGAATTTGGGATAATCTGAATCTTTTTTCCCTGGGCCATGGTTATTCATATTGGGTTCAGAATATTTTCATTTTAAAATCTATTTTGAGGTGAGGGTTTTTTGTTTGTTTGGTTGGTTGGTTTTTGCCTTTGGTGTGTATGTGTGTGTGTAGGTATTCAATGAAACATCAGAAAACCATTTAACCTCTTTAACATCTTTGGATGTCATTTTACTTAGTTAAAATGAGTGGGGGTAGCAAATCCCTTCAGGGTGTTGCCATGAGTGATGAATGTAAGATAATATATGTAGTGACGAAGCAGACGTGTCTAGATGCCCGTGGTCCTTCTGTGATTTATTTTAACATTTGTTCATGAGTCTAGCAAACACTCCCATACATTTAGCTTCCAGTTTAAGTTCTAGATCTGGCCTCTTAAGGAAATGTGCTTTATTTACCTGCCGAATGAAAAGCCAAACAGAGTATTTAAAACTCTTTCATTCAAGGACTAAAGTTGGTCACAGCTGTTTTCTTTAATATTTATTCAATAAAAGCTTGTCAAGCGGGTGGATGAGGTACATGCTTTTTCTTCCTGCAAAGCCTTGTACTCCTCCTTCCCTTTCTTCCTTCAGCTGAGAAAACTTTTTTAAAGATGGAGTTCTGCTCTGATCACAGATACTAATTTTCTTTTGTAACTTGACGAGATGATTCCATTTTTGACAAAGTCACCATGGCCAAACGGAAGTTGCCAATGTGTGACAAGTTGCCAACAGCCCATGTGCTTTAGGAAGGTGCTCCTGGATGACCTCTTGACCCGTCCCACAGGTCTGTCACCAGAGATCCTGAATGGGGTAGTGGGAATGAAAAAGGGGACAAGGACGTGAGGAATGAAGACCAAGACAGTATCTCTGATCAAAGTCTCCATTTATTCGAATTTTCTATACAACTATATAGGCAGAAGCGGAAGGAATGTAATTGCCTTTGGCAAGGTTACTAAGTGACTAGAAATCACAGGATGGCCCACCAAGATGTGCTAACAATGGTAATTTGGAAAGTTCCTCAGAAGAGTTACTTAGGAAGCCCTGAGGGAGAGGAGGATTTAAGGTATTTCAGGAAGATGATCTTATCGAAAACCCCAGATCAGCAAGGAATGCACTATTGTATTTGGGCAGTAGTTCGATCAAGCCAGATGCCAAAATTCAGGGGGCAGCAAGGTGCCAGAAGGCCCTCCCCCCCCACAACCTCTGGGAAATGACAGTGTGGGTTCTGAGGGCTGCTGTCCATAACAGCAGCTTCAGCATGGGGAGGGGGACCAGGGGACTTCATTCTCACTTACCTGAAATGTCCACAAAGCTTTTGCATTACCATTTTATCTGGTAAGGATTCTACAGAAGTTCACAACTATTGAAGAGAAAATGGAAAATGTCCAGACCAATAAATAACCCTTTGAGAGAGGGGACTAACCGCTCTCACTCTCTTTTAAGTGTCTCAGTCCTAGAAGGACACAAAGGACCAACATTGTTATTGCTGAATGGACATGTCATGTTATGTACAATAAAATCTGGACTCTGGCCACTTTAGTGTCTCTTATTGTTGTTCCACTCACCCTTCTGCCATGCAAACAATCTGGATATATGTGACATAGCATTCAAATTGGAAACTTGGAGAGAAGGGGAGGGAAGGTGGAAGGGAGACAGTTAGAGAGGCAGAGAGAGAGAGAGAGAGAGAGAGAGAGAAGAACACAAACCTATCCTTTTCCCAACATAGGGCCCCTTCGTAGAATTCAAGGTTCTTTTTGTTTTAATTAACTGTTTCCTCTGCTTCAGAATCACCTCTGGAGGAACTTAAAATTCCCAAACTTCACAACATTCAGATTCTCCTGAATCCTCTTATGCTGTTTTTCATTTGGCACCAACCATGACCAAACCCCTAAAATTTATTATCAGGGATTGTTCTAAGTGGGAAAAATATATAAAAGGCAGCGCCTGCATGCATATGCGTACATATGTGCGTGTGCAAATATATTTATATATTCAGCTTTTGTTTCTTTCACAGCATAAGGACTAATAATTTCAAATGCATTCCATGGGAACCAGCAGAGAATTTTTAGAAATTGCATTAACTCTTTCAGGTGATGCTTGGACAGTGACCTCCAAGCCACTATGTTGGCTTCATTAGATGTCGGTACCTATAGGTAGCACTGAGATTTGAAAAGGTCAGAACACTGCATAAGTTTTTTCTTTGTGTTATTTTCAATGGCACTAGAGTTAGGCTGCATGCTCACTATTATTATTTTTTTGAAATTATATCTCTATAAGAATACCCTTTCTTTAAAGAACTGAAAAGAGTTTTCAACTTTATATTAGAAATTACCTACAAATAATGATGTGAAAAATCAAAGAATGTTTTGAAATTTTTGGGTTACTCTCATTCCTTTGTGGTTTCTGTACTCATATTTTAAACAATCACAGTTGGAAAATAATTTTAATTGCTTTTGTACTGAGCATGCACTGACATTTTCTCTCTGTTATTTTTCCTTAAACCATCCAGCATAACAATTACTTACAGAGCATTTGCTTTGTATTAAGTATCATAAGCAAATCAGAAATTACTTAAATTATATGAGAGGATGTGGGTAGCTTCTATGCAAAGCCTATAGTGTTAGATATCATAGACTTGAGCATCTTCCGATTTTCTCATCAAATGAGGCCATGAAATCAATTCTTGGCAGATACTGTCCAACATTTACAGGTTGTTCATTTGGGACTTTTGATAGATCAGGGTCAATTTGTAAAATCATCAGGGCAATCTCAGTGAGTGCCCTGTCAGCTTTGTTTTTGAAGAATCCATAGGAAAGAATCTTGACCATCTCACAAATATTGCTCAAGTAAACTTTGAAATAAATAACTGATTCAATAGCCCAGAAACAGGAAAAGTGAGCCTAGTATAAGGACTTGGGACATGTATTCCTGTGTGGGAATATGTAGTTTTAAGAACACTCAGGTTTTGTTTTGATTAAGTATGGTAATGTAAGTAGATGTAGACAGGATCTTTGCTATGAAAGACGTTTGCCCAGTTTCCTAGGAAGAGGAAGCAAGATACAACACAGTACACAGAGTCACACAGGTGATTAGTGGCAGAGGGCTGAGGGAGGCAAATGTGAACAAGGAGTAAGGAGTTTCACTGTGGTTTCTACAGAAAAAGAAAAAGAAGCAGCTGGAGTTGGAGAACGGCTAGTCTGGAGAATTTTGGTTGTTGTTGGTAGAACCTCTCTATAATTATCTGGTGCCTAGACTTGGGTTCATTAGGGAAGTAGAGTGGCCAAGTACCAGAAGTCAATAAAAATGGTTAGGGTGGACTTTATGCATATTAGAAATATACTTACTAGAAAGTCATTTTTCAACATGTAGGAAGTAATTAACCTTAGGAGAGGTAGCTGCAAATACAAACAAAGGACATGTAAACATGTATGTATGCATATGTGTGTGTAATTCTTACTCTGTGTCCATCAAACAACCTTCCTATTTCCACTTCAGTGCATTCATGCTTTGTTAAACACAAAAATTCCATTGCTGTCACTACTCATATCAGACACTGCTCTGCTGTAATCAAGGCAAAGGTGTATGGATAGAGCCATAGGAGATGGAATGATCGCTACTACTGATCCATACTGATAGCCTCAAATGCCAGCTGTCAGCTTCAAATCTGATTTCTAAAGCTGCTTTGTGATTTGGTCAATGCAAAGTCCATCTTCTTAAAGTGTCCTTCATCTGAGATTCCTATCACTCATTCAATCAGTCTAAAGAAAAAATTAATTAATTAATTACTCTATATTCCAATTACAGCTGATATTTGTGGCTCACAGCGAGCGGTATAAGACATGCTGCTGGTTTGGAACTTCTTGCCTTTGTAATTATTGAACCAAGTTATTTTTTTTTTCTGATTATGGTTTTCTACCCTCTCTCATAAGAAGACTGTGCAATGATTATTATAAATACATGGATTTTAGTGGAACATAACTATGCTTTTTTATTGCTAGCAAAGTAATACACAACTTTCTAGCTTGGTCTCTCACACTACAGATAGAATGCCTTCTCATGATCAATGGCAAGAACTTGCCTCTGGAACCTCTGAGTGGAAGGCTAGACCCAGGTACTGACTTTTAGGCTTTATCACTCACTGAAGACCAATACCAGACACAAGATCTTATCACTCTCAACTTCTTTTTAGACGTCTTAATGACACTTCAGAGACTGAGTTGGAAAGGTTAACAGAAAATAATTTTCTAGAGCTTGTGACCATGGCAACCAGAAGAGAGCCACGTCAGTGGCTACTCTGGCAGCTACCGGGACATCCAGTTTTTGTCTCTTGACATTACAGCAGTTCAGGCCCTCTAAAACAGATCCTTCTTAGCTGTCAGCCCACAGGGTCTGGCCACAGATATTTTCGTACTTCACAGATACATGAAGGAGCCTTGTTCTCTGGTCAGACAATGGCTGAATCGGGTCTTGAGGCTGAGGGCTTTTGACAGCTTGAATGAATGCCAATATGACAAGAAGACAACTAACAGTGCTCAGAGATGTGCTCAGCCGTGTTGAATTCTGTTCTTTTATTACTCCATGGGAAAAATGGATGCTCTGTTACAGACAGGGGCATTTCAGAAGACTGCGGAAAGGCTGTCGATCATCTTACCTCTTGAAGAAATAATAGACGATGTAAATCTAAGCTGTGATGTCGTTTTCAAAATATGGTTTGTTGGATGATGAGTTCTGATACATTAGAAGCACATATTGCTAGCAGGCCGGGTCTAAGGAAAGGAGAGAATGCTTTGATGGTTTGATTTTCTTTCCCTTTGTCCCCAGTGCATTTCCAAAGAAAACATTAGAAGACAGAAAAGCAAACATGAACCTTGAAATCCCCATGTTTCAGGAAAGGTAAACATGAAATCTTCTATGATGCAAACATACCAGAAGTATTAGTTGGAGCTGACTTTATAAGATGCTGGCTTGTTGCCTGAAAACAGACATTGGGTTTTTTTTTTTTTTCTACCAATCAAGGAGATTACATTAAAGCATAATTACTATCAGACAACCCTGGGAGAAACTTTTATCTGATGCTTCAAGTTCAAAAATAACCTAGTCCCTGAATGTCATAGCTCCATGAAGCAAGATGATTGCCATCGTGAGTTATGGTCTGTAGCTATGCAAGTTAAATCTCTGTGTGTGGGAGTGAGGAACACTTGGTTGCTCTCTAGCAAGGTCTGTTTCTATTAACCTTTTGTTCTCTTCCTCCTGAAATAGGAAAGGCAAGAATGTGTCCTAGATGAGCAGTACTAGCCTAAACATTTCAACCTGCATATCCTCAATGACTTTGAATGTCCCCAAGCCCTCTCTGTGCTACTTGCATACATTACTGTATTTAACCTTCTGTCAGCCCTCAAGCAGACTCATGTTTTAGGTTAAAAAACAACAACAACAACAACAAAAACAACCCTCAAGATACCCAAATTCTCTCCCATTTGCCTCATTCAGTAGTGCAATGAGATGTCAAGTTTAGGGCTATAAAGGTGTGCATGGTCTGGCCTGTACTGCTTATCTTGAGTACATCACCTCTTAGTATTTTTTACCTAGATAAGAAATAATAATAAAATACAATAAGAGAAAACAAGGCAAATTCAGAATAGGACCAAACAGCCCAACAATTAAAAAAAAATACAAAGGAAAAGCACAAGAAACACATGTAGATGTAGAGACCCACGTTTGCACATATGTGAATCCCATGAAAACACATAACTGGAAGTCATAATATATATGCAAAGGACCTGTAAGAAATAATAACCTGACTTAATATTAGAAGACAAAGAACCTCCAAAGATACCTCTGAGTTTGTTTTGTGTTGGTCTTCTCCTGCTGGCCATGGGCCTTAACCTTAAGAGCGGTTTGTGATTGGAAGTAGGAGAAAATAAGTAACAGGACAGGAGCCTACCGCAGAGGGCACCTGAAAGACTCTACCTAGCAGTGTATCAAAGCAGATGCTGAGACCCATAACCAAACCTTCGGCAGAGTGCAGGGAATCATATGAAAGAAGGAGGAGTTAGTATGACCTAGAGGGGACAGAAGCCCCACAAGGTACAAATATATCAGGGCACAGAGGTCTTCTCTGAGACTGTTTTTCTAACCAAGGACCATGCATGGATATAACCTATAACCCCTGCTCAGACATAGCCCATGGTAGCTCAGTATCCAAGTGGGTTCCCTAGTAAGGGGGACAAGAATTATTTCTGACATGAACTCAATGACTGGCTCATTGAACTTCTCCCCCCACCCCCCGAGGGAGGAGCAGCCTTACTAGGCCACAGATAAGGACATTGCAGCCAGTCCTGAAGATACCTGATAAGCTAGGGTCAGATGGAAGGAGCGGAGGACCTCCCCTATCAGTGGACTCAGAGGGGCAGGGAAGAGATGAAGGAGGGAGGGGAGGATTGGGAGGGAAAAAGAGAGGGGGCTACAGCTGGAATACAAGTGAATGTATCAACTTATTTAAAAATAAAAAAATCTGTATGAAAAAAAGAGTGGTTTGTGTTCACAGTGAAATTCCCTCAGAGAAAAGTAATTTTTCATTTGCAAGGGACTATAAAATGGAGATAGCTTCTGGATTACAGATGGGGCATTCATCCGTGTTTCCTTTCATTTCTAGGACCACATTTGCTGCGGACTTGTGCAGATCCTGCGCATGCTGCATCCGTTCCTGTTAGTTAATGTGTGTGCAAGCCCTGCTGCATCTATAAGCCCATGGTCCCTTGGTGTCATCCATCCCATCTAGCACTTAGACTCTTTCTGCCTTATCTTCTACACAGTTCCCTGAGCCCTGAGCAGAGGGATTTTTATGGAGACATCCATTTTAGGGCTGAGTGTTCCAAGATCTCTCTGCACATTGTCTAGCTGTTGAGCTCTGCTTTTGTTCCTTTGCACCATCTGCAGGAGGAAGCTTCTCTGAAATGGCGGAGCCAGGCACAGATCTATGAGTACAGTAGAATTCCATTAGAAGTCATTGCATTGCTGTATTCTGTTTGCAGAACCATTGTATTAGGTTTTACTTAGATCTCTGTCCTATGGGCACCAGAGCAGTATTGAATATGAGTTTCACCTCATGCCAACTTGAATTCATCTTTTGAATATGTGATGAGAAAAATAGGCTACCAGTGAGTTAGGACAGGTCATATCCACACCCCTGAAAGCTTGTGAGACTTATTGGCATTCCATAGACAGGCCACACCTACACTGAAATGTTGCAAAATCTTTTCAGGTGAATAGTGAGTATCCATTGCTATGAACTCACTAGTTCCTTCCTTTGAGATGTCCTCAAGCCTTGGAGCTTCTGCCTTGGAACTCTCCTTGATATAGTAATTAAAGAGTTTATACTTGTTAGGAACACTTCTGACCATGATAAAAACTGACCATCATGTCTCATTTTTGAAGAAACACTGAAGACAGTTACCATAGATGATCTATTCATAGCTTGATCTACCCTTATTACTGAAGATACAAAAACTAAACCCTATCAGCTCAGAATAAAGGAAAAATTCCTTTACCCATTAAGCTCAATGATTGCTTATTATAAATTTCAACTTAATAATAAAAGAAAAGGACATGAGGTTGTGGAGGGTAATTGTGAACTAGTAATTGAACTGGCAAGCCTGAAATGTCCTGAAGAAAATTTAGGGTTCTATAAAGGTCTATAATACTCATTTCTCCTCCAACTTGAGCTTTTAATGTTTTTGGTCCCTGACCTCCCATTAATATTGAATACTCAAGACTTACTTGGATAAGCTATGGGAAACATCATCTGGAAACAGTAAGATAACATTGAATGGTTACTGTGTTGGGAATTAGCTATTAAATACATATATACATCATCCAGATGTCACAAATCACCAAACAGAACACAACACAATTGAGTAAGATAAGTAATTTTGTCCTTACTGTATAGATGAGAAAACTGTGTGTTGCAGGCACTTGTAACTTGTCTAAGGTTGGGGAGCTTCTAGTTATTGGGGTACAGTTAAACCTTCAGGCTGACAACAGACAAAGATATTTAAACCACTTTGTAAAGCTGCCTTTTTTTTCCTGTTGTTTTGTTTCTTAAAAGACACACTTGACTGCTCTTCCAAGATTCTAATTTCAATCTTAGACAAAGGGAAATAAAATAGTTTCTCTAGAATTTACCTCTAAAATGAAACAATTAACTGTCGAGTTTAATCAAACTCTATCAAGTTTAATGCAGCAATGGTTATGTTTTTCCCTTAAATATCTTTCCATATGTCCTTCTTCCTCTAGCATATGGTATTGCTGAATTTAAGACCATCTTCCAGCCCCTACTGAAAAGAAATTAAGCCTCTGGATGAATCCAAAGCCGACCACATGCCTGCAAGTCCATTTTACTGAGATCTTGTTTCTGGTGTAGTCATCCATCCAAAACCTTAAGAGCTGTATTAATTGCTTCTGGGCTCTGAGTTCATCCCTTGCCTGCTCTGACTTATGACTACCATTAGTAGATTTAATGTGGTCATGGCACAGACAGCCAAAATCCTGCTTATTAAAACAACACAAAATGAAGTCATATGAGGGCTGTGCAGGGGGAAGAAAGGCCCCTAAGTATTATTGATGAACCAATTAGCCAATGTTTATAAAGATCCCTGACAATTAATATTATATATATACACACACATTAAACTATATTTATATAATTGGTTTTCTGAAAGCTGATAGCTGGGTGGTATGGAATGGACCTCTTTTGGTAGAGTGATAGATGGCATAGGAAATAGGCAGAAAATTATGAGAGCCTGGTGATTAAGGTGAAATATTATCTGGTTATCTGTCCATTTTTCTGTACTTAGAAAAATCAAGGTGTTTTGTGAAAGACTTTCCTCAGAAGATGCAAAGAACATCTACTTATCCCGGAAAGGGAACCTACAACAGACCAACATATGGATAACATCAAAGTTCAACTTGGTGAATCAATGAGTTTTATTGGGGCTACTTATAGGAATACGGATCAGGGGTTACTTACAGGAGCAAAAATATCTCAAAGAGAGGTGACTCATCAAAGCCAACCCCAGCATGGGTGACAGGTCACAAAAGCTGGAAACCTGGACCACTTTGCACAAGCTGTAGGCAGTTCAACAGGTTTGAGAATTTGTTTATCCTGGTAGGAGGGGTTTGCTAGTGGGTTTGAGTCTCTTCTGGGAACTTCAGAGGGTCTTTGGTTCTTCTAGGCTGGTCTGTTTTTATTTCAGGCAGTTGGGCTTCTCTGAGAGCTCATTTCCATCACTCTTTGCTGTTTATTTATTTTTTTGAGAGGGAGGAGCCTTGTGAACCTAGACAGTTTCAGGCATATTTCTGAAGCTATTTTAAGTTGTTTACTTTCTGTCTCAAATTGCATCCCTGCTGCATTTCATCTCCCTATAGAACATCCTCTGTTTCATCTCATTGTAAACATCATGTTTTAACAAGCTTCCCTCCAACATGAAATATGTTAATTTCAGAAGACTCTGCTACACAACACAAGGAAAATAATTAAACAGATCATTTGTTCATTTATCTAGAGAACAGGCAAGTATGAACTAGGTCTTCTGTCTCTTTTTAAAATATACTTAATTGAGTTTATACTTTCACCACTCAGTTACAATGAACTTACGATGGGGAAACTAGTGGAAAAGATATTAAACAGTATGTCCTTTCTTCTCCTCCTTCTCCTTTTCCTCCTTCTCCCCCTCCAATTAT